ATCGTAATAAAATTCTAAAATTTTCTATTGGTATGTGGCAAAAACTTTGAAATTGTGCGGGAGCTGGAATAGCAATGGATTTAATATTTTCTTGAATTAAATGAGCTTTTAGATTTAAGAGGCAATGGAAAAAATCTTCAAGTGTTGGCTGGGAATTCATGTTATTTACAATTGAGTAAAAAATTTGTTTTTGAGAGTAGTTTAAGTTGAAAAAATCGTGTGTTCCGTAATTAGCCAAATTGTTATTAATGTTACTATGTTGGAAAAAATCAAAATATTTAGTTAATTTATCATCGGGAGTTTGTTTTTTTATCACGAATATCAATGCGGATTCTTCATGTTTTAGGGATGTGAGAAAAACTTCATTCGATTCCTCGATATTGTTATTAATTATAACCGAGGTTTTAATAGTATTTAAAAATTTTTCAAAATTATTTTCGGAATTAAAATTGCATCTGCATAGAAGAGATAATTTTGGTTTAGAATCGATAGGAATAGATGAAATATTTTCATTAGAAGCTAATTCTTGAATATCAAAAAATGAGCGAGATAAACTATCAGCATTCGTATTAGATGATCCAGATTTATAAATTATATCGAATTCATATTCTTCTAAGGAAAGCCTCCAGCGCATTTGTCGTGAATTTGGATCTTTACATTTGTACAGGTAGATAAGGGGCATGTGATCGGTGTACAATTTGAATGGTTTACCATAAAGGTAAGGTCGGAAATGTTTTATGCTCCATACGATTGCTAAAAGTTCTTTGTCTATAGTAGAATAATTTTTTTCTGCGGGGTGCAAGGTTCGCGATGCATATGCAATTGGTAAATCTTTTCCTTCGACATTTTGAGATAGAACCGCGCCTAATGCAAAACCGCTTGCGTCCGTGGTTAATGAAAATTCTCGATCGAAATCGGGATACTGGAGTAAAGGTGGATTTATTAGTTTTTGTTTAAGTTCATTAAATGCAAGTTCACACTCTTGGGTCCAATTAAATTTTGCGTCCTTTTTTAATAATTCGGTTAGAGGTAATGCAATTCGGGAGTAATTTTGTATAAATTTGCGGTAGTAACCGGACAATCCTAGAAATATTTTTATTTCTTTTTGATTGGAAGGAGTGGGAAAGTTTTTTACTGAGGAAATTTTATCAGGATCAGGAGACACACCGTGTGCACCGATGATATGGCCTAAATACGTAATTTCGTGTTTCAAAAAATGACACTTATCGGGTTGCAACTTTAGATTGTATTGTCGTAATTTTTCTAGCACTTCTAGTAATTTGGTATTATGTTCTTCAAGTGTTTTCCCGTAAACTATTATGTCGTCCATATAAACTAGAGTTCTAATTCCTTGTATGCCCGACAAAACTGTATTGGTCAGTCTCTGTAAAGTCGCCGGTCCGCCCTTAAGTCCAAACGGTAACCGTTTATACTCAAAATGTCCGAAGTCAGTAGAAAATGCAGTTTTTTCTCGGTCAGTTTTATTTAGTAAAATTTGATGAAAGCCTTGAGCTAAATCTAGAGTCGTGAAAAATCGTGAGTTACCTAGTTGGTCAATAATGTCAGTGATGTTTGGTAATGGGAAAGCGTCCGATTTTGTAATTGCGTTTAATTTTCGGAAATCAACGCAAATCCTCCATTTTTTATTTCCGTCAGTATCAGGTTTTTTGGGGACAATAATTAAAGGAAAATTCCAGGGACTTTGCGAGTTTTGAATAATATCGTCTGCTAACATCTGTGAAACTTGTCGGTGAATTTCTGTTTTATGAGCGTGCGGTAATCTGTAGGGTTTTATGTATATGGGTTTTTCGTCATTTTCGACGGGGATACTATGAGTAATCGTATTTGTATATGTCAGTTTGTCGTTTTCTAAATAAAACAGATCATGAAATTTTGTACAAATATTTAAAATTGAATCTTTTTCGAGATTTGTCATGTGATTAGTTTTTATGCATTGTAAAACTTTTTGTACTCTTTGATTCTTGTCATTATCATCAATTGTGTCGTTGTAATTTACGTTATTGAACAAACATTGAAAATCGATTGATTCTTGGTTAGATTTGATAGATTTATTTTTATTAAGATTTATAGAGTCGATTATATCAAAGTTGCTTAATAACTCGAAGTTTACGTCTTTTGAATTAAGGAATTGACGATCTGACGTAGGATTAATAACATTTATAAAAAAACAATTTTCAATAGGTTTTACAATGCAGTTAGCTAATATCAATCCGTTTTCATATTGTTTTGAAAAACATACTGCTTCGTCGTTTAACGCAGTTTCGATTTTTAATGTTGTTTCGGATCGAGGAGGGATTAAATGTTTTTCGGAATTAACTAAAGGGGTAGTAAACTCTTGGTTATTGATTTCTAGTGAAAATAATTTAGAATGATAATTAATTTTTGCTTTAAATTTCAATAAAAAATCTTTACCGATGATTCCTGAATATTTAATTGGAAGATTTGATACAACTTGAAACGGGAATTCTGTATTTTGTTCGGAAAATTTAAGGTTAATATAAGAAACGCCATGGGTTGTTAATGAATTTGATGTTATTCCAATTAGTTCAATTTTTTTATCTGTGTATACGAGAGTTTCTTTATCAATGTTATGAACTTTAATTAATGATATGTCACTACCGGTGTCTATTAAAAAATTATGAAAAGTATTTGGTAGCTGTGTAGTTTCTAAAATGATTGATTCATAACTGTTCGGAAAATTTAAGTTTATATTGTTACAATTGCTATTTACATGAATGCCCGTCCCGGAACGGGCTCTGGCGAGTTTTTTGAACTTGAAGAAGGTGTATTCGATTGGATTTCATTATTTTCAGCTATCGGATTAGGATTATTAATAGATAAACAACTTTCCTGTTTTATTTGCGGAACCATAGAGATTTGAGTTTGTTGGAAAAAGTTTTTACGATTGGGATGTCTACATTGATCAATCGTATGACCGAATTTTTTACAATAATTGCAAATTATCTGTGAATTTTTATGTTCGGCTTTGAAAAAACAATTACCACTGCTATGACCTATTTTATTGCAAAAGTCGCATGTTAAAATTGAGGATGAATCGGTATCTTCGGCAATGGCAAAGTCTATGGCGTCATTTAAATTATCGAATCTACAACATTTTACTAAATTTTTCAACGGCATTTTTAGTCCATTGAGAAAAGTTCTGAGAGCCATTTCATTATAAACATTTTGTAAATTATCCGCGACTGTCTGATCGTGTGTATCATAATCTTTATCATAAATTCTGTACAATAGTTTATTAATTCTTTCACTGAAAGATTTTACCGATTCATTAGGTTTTTGTTTATAATTTAGCAACTCTGCAAGAAGGATTGATACAGGAGTTTTTTCCGTATATTCTTTATACAAAAATGATTTTAATGAGTCCCAGCAAGAAATTTTGTTACGTATTATTTTTATTAGTACATGAGGTGGGAATTTACTTTTTATGGTTAAAAATAGTTTTTGTGATTCACTGGCCTTTAAGTTTTCATTCAGTGAATCACATACATCAATAAAAATACGTACATCAGTTTCGTTTTCAATAAAATTCGGTAATATAGCTAAGGCTAAATTTAAATCTAATAAGTTTTCATTCAAAATTGTAGATTGGTTCTCCATCTTGAATTTGTAATAATATATGAATTTTCTTACTTGAATTCCTTTTGATTATGATAGAGGGTTTTGTTCACCTTGATCGTCGCTCCAGGGTTGTAGATTTAAGTCCTGATTTGGTCCCACGTTTTAAACTTCAAAATCTTCTTCTGAACTTGTTATTATTCTTTTTATTAAATCTTCCAGTTATTATTTTTATTAGAATTATTTTGATGATTTTATATAGATTTTCATCGATTTTAATTGATGCACTTTATTTTTGTATCACTTGATAATTTTAAGAGTTTGCTTATTTTCCACACACTTTTTGTTTTAATTTTTTTAATTTATTTTATTAATTTGCACTCTTATCTCGGAGTTGGATTCGATTAAGCTGCCACCAAATGAAGAGACGTTAGTAATTAAATTTACTAATTAATAATTAAATGTAACCAATTTTTAATAATTCTTGAGTAGATTAGGGTTTTATTTTGAATACTTTTGAATACGAGAATTGGAACATTTGTAGCTCTTCGGGAAGTGTGTGAAATCAAAGAATTTATTAAGATACAAAAATTTATTTATCGCTTTATTATAATATTTCAGTTGTTGCTTGTTCAAGAGTTCAGGACTAACTAACTTATATTTTTACATTTTTAAAATATTTCCAATCTTTCTAGTTTTATGATAGCTCGCCGAAGGTACATGAGCTATCATAAACTTTTATTAAGGGTTGTCTGGCAGATGTACAAAATATTCGCAACATTTACCGTTACTTGGGAGTATACATCGTTCTAAGGAATTTACTTATGATCATTATTTATAATTATAAAGAACACAATTCTCAACAACTACTTCTGTATAATCTTGATTATAAACGCACTGAACGTACTAATTACACTAAATTAATAATATGATTAAATATAAACTATTATTGGAAATTATCAACTACGTTATAATATTATACCAATTGATACGTCTCAGCGCGTTCTCAAATTCCAAATGAGCTAGTCTCGCGACTGCAAGCCTGGCATGGAATCACACACACACACAACACACGCGCGCAAACAACCACTTGAGACAAGGAGTGGCGCGCGCGCTCGCATGCTAACGCGTCGATCAGCCACGACCAGCTACGACACTGCGCGAACGTGGTACGGCCTGAGTCGCGCGGGCTTTCGTTAAATCACACACACACGCAAGCAGCACGCAACAATGCTGCCAATTTTTCAATTGGAGTATATATAAAGTCGAAATGTATTGTTAATGAATAATAAGAAACTCTACACAGTTTATGTAGCTAACTCTTCATTAGAAAATTCCTTGAAAATAATAAGAAAAAGAGAATAACAAGAAATTCTATACAGTTTATTTCTATACAGTTTATTTTATGTAAAATTCATTAGTGTTTTAATAATGGACGATGCTAAATTAAATTTTTCTTTTGTAAGGTCATTGGCACTTTGGTTGTGGTCAGACTGGCCTCGACTACGACCACCATGGTGGCCTCTGTTGCCTCTGCTGTCGCCTCTGTTGCCTCTGCCTCTGCCGCCTCTGTTGCCTCTGCTACTGCCTCCTCCTGAAGGGAGGAAATTGCTCCGCGGTGGCTTCCTGCCGCGCTGAGTTCTTCTCCCCCGTCCACCACCGCGTACTGAATCTCTCCTATTTACGGCATCGTACCGGGACTAAAGTAATAATATTATAACAACTTATAGCTAAGTATATTTACTAATGTATTTATATAATATTATATAAATGCTACATTACCTTGTCAAGATAAATTTGTAGGCTAACGCCCTGAGTATTCATCATGATTTTATTGAATAAATCAATAAATATGTTTGCGTCATATGGCATTTCAAACGGCAGCAAAGCCACCGTCTTCCACTCTGCTGGCATTGCTGCCTGAACTTTCTTCAGCACTTCTCCAACTGTCTGGAGCTCGCAATCTGCCATAAGAAAAATCATAATGAAAAATTGCTTAAATTTGTATATAAGTTCCTTATATATACTTATATATAAGATTTTGATTTTTTAGTTCGTATATTTATATTTATACCTTCATCCTCATATGCAATGGCACATAATGCCACTGCATGCTTGTGGTCCAGGCGACGTCCCCGACACCGTCCGGCCTCGAATTTTCAGTATTAAATCTATCACAGTAAAAAATAGAAATATGTACACGTCCTGAACAATAAAGAATTGGATTTGAATTACTTACATTGTCATTTTTTCCATTTTAGTTTTGTTGTGACTACCCGTTAATAAAATTAGTAGGTGCTCCACGGGTATCGTTTTTAACGTGGAGAATTTCATCACCTTTGCCGCCACATCTTTAGTTAAGACTACAGAAAATGAGATTATATAGACATTATAGAGAGATTATAATATTATTATATATATATATATATATATATATATATATATATATATATATAAATTGAAAATTACCAGTTTCTTTATTTTCAATTTCCATTTCGCGAATTCTACTTGCAACTTATTTCAATGATCTCGAAAATGAATTAAGTATTTCTTCTTTGACCGGCTTTTTGAAAAGTTTCGAGTAACATTCGATGAATTAAAGTAAATTTAATAACAAGTATATATGTAAAGCAGGGCAAGGCACAAAGGTCCAATTTGACTTTGAGCAAATACAAACTATATTATAAAAATCAAACCAATTATATCACAACAAATTCCGCTTCCATAAAAAATTTCAAATTAAAAGTGTAAAGTTTTTACTCGATTTTGAAATATCACCTTTATATATATATATATATATATATATATATATATATACTAGCTGACCCGGCAAACGCTGTTTTGCCATCAAAAATATTTTGCCGCATTGCAGAAGTTCTTATAATATACATGATATATTAATAATAATGTTATATTTTTATTACACAAATTTCTTCACATTTTGATAATTAATTCGAACGCATCATAGTGCTTTGTTTATTTTAATTTTATTTATGTCAAATAGTGAAATATTTTTAATCAATGAATAAATTAGATTTTAGTCTGAATCATCGCAGTACCATTATCTAAATATATAATTTTTATATAAATATCAGATTTTTTACTTTTGCATTTAATTTAAAAATATTGAATGTCAATGTCATATATCCAATATGCACTTAATTTTTAAATGCTAAAATATTTCCTTTTTGGTTCGAAATTTAATATAATATAATATAATTTATATCTATAATTTGATTGCCAATATTGCCTATAACATAACTTGGAATAATTAATTTATTTGTATCTTATTGAAGTCGTTAAAAATTCATTTTTTCTTTGAACTGTCAGAAATTTGTTTATGATTAATGTTAAATTCAATATGTCGCTTTTTTATTGTGATCTATAATGTTTTAATCGCTTATCATATAAATTTTCGACTGCAAATTGATATTCATACTATCCCTGAAACTAACATGGATAAGGTTCTGAAAAATCCGAGTCCAAATCTATAAAATGTTTGATTTTTGGCACTTTTATTAATTTTTTTATCAATTTTCGTACTGTAAAATAATGGATGATTATTTATCAAAATTGTAATATTTAGACTATAATTTTAGATGTATACTTTTTATTTTGGCATTGAATTATTTTCATTGAAATCAAGTGAAACATAAATATATTTATTCGATATTTATATAAAACATATAATTAAAATATGCATTAAAATCATATTGTCTATAAATAATATGTCATTTTATAAATAGTATTTATTACTTTGGTGCTTGATATGGGTATGAATTTGTGATAAAATATATTCTTTCTGACAAATAGTTAAAAACTTGTTATAATTTTCAAAATTATTTGACATTTCTTACTTCAAAAATTAATTCACTCGCATCATAGCGTTTTGTTTATTATACTTTTGTCATGTTAAATACGTCAATATTTATTTTTTATAAATTAATAATTATTTTAAGTCATCAATGAATATATTATATGATTGTTAAATTCATAAAAAAGTGCAAATTCAACACAGGAATATTGTGGAAATAAATATTTTTTTACATAAATATCTGATTTTTGACATTTGCATTTCATTTGAAATTAATTATAACTGGCAAAATATTTTCTTTTGGATCGAAATTTAATATAATATGATATAATATTTAGTTTGTCTAGTTTGTTTTTGTCAGATTGCAATGATACCTTCAGATTGTACTATTTCATTTAAGAGGTTACAATTTTCTGTATGATTAACGTTTGCGATGGCAATCAAAATTTATCTCAACTCATATAATAATAATAATTTATTTTAATTACACAAATTTCTTTATACTTCGATAATTAATTCCAACGCATGATGCAGGTGTTTTGTTTATTTTAATTTTGTTTGTCATTTTTTTTTAAATTAATGAATAAATCAGGTTTCAGTCTAAATTAACAAATCAGTATCTTTATCTGAATATACAATTTTTTATATAAATATTTGATTTTTTACATTTTCATTTAATTGAAAAATAGTGAATGTCAATTTCATATATTCAATATGCAGTATATTTGTAAATGTCAAAATATTTCCTTTTTGGTCGAAAATTAATATATGATATTCATTTTACAATATTGTGTTGTATCTATAATTTGTTCGGCAATATAACTTGGAATAATTAATTTATTTGTTTCTTATTGAAGTCGTTAAACATTTTTTTTGTGAAATGTCAAATTTTTATTTATGATTAATTTTAAATTCAATACGTCGCTTTTTTATTGTGATCTCTGATCTATAAGGTTTTGATGAAGTTGTGGTATCCGAAATAATTTGGTAAGCTAATAAAATAAATATAAATTGTAAATCTATTTATATAATTAAACTTAAATTTCATAAATATTGACAAATGACATTTGACGATTTTCATGTCAACATTTATTCAAATTTATAAACATTGACTTTTAATTAGATTTAAAACTATAAATTGTGATTTTGAATATAGCATTTCATCTAATTTGGATATAAATGCTGGGTATATCTATATATGTATATGTATAGATATACTTTTATTGTATTGTGAATTAAATTTTTTGAACTGTCAATTTTTTTTTTCAAAAATCATAAATCTTTTTTTCTCGAGTTTTCCATAAATTTTGACATTTGTCATTTTAGTGTTTTTTTTTTGGCCATTTTATGTCAAAATTTTTAGAAATTTATAAAAATTACATATTTATATTTTAAATTTACTTTTCAAAATTTCCTATAACCTAAGTTGGATATATAGGTACACGTTGAGCCAATAAAATTTAAAATCGGTCCAGTAGTTTGGGCGTCCATCGCGAACCAACATCGTGACACGAGATTTATATATATATATATATATATATATATATATATATATATATATATATATTGATGAGTTATTTATAATCGGGCAGTAACACCAAGTAAAAAAAAAACTAAAGTAATTTTGAAATACTTTATTTATCCATACGTTTCGGTCTTCATCGAGACCGTCATTCAGTGGAAAAACTAAAAGATTTTATATGATGTAGAAGGAAAATAATATAAAGTTATAAAACTTATATATAAGTACTTACAGAATTAATTATGCAAAAATACACTACACTATTACACTATGATAAGCCAAGCTATTAATAATTGAAACATTTAAACTAATTATTTTTTTGACAATTTTTTGGTTACATTATAGTGTGTACAAGTTGGATAACGACTAAATACTGAATGAATTGTGTTTACAAATATTAGGAAAGTGTAAAAAGACCGGCAAACATATGTTTTTTGTAAAATAATAAAATAATAAAAATACACGCTTCATTCAGATATAGTAGTGATTTTGAAATGGTCTAAGATTATTTTATAGTCATTGCAAAGCGAATTGTTGTCAGTTCTTAAATTTATGGCCCTAAATATTTTTCGAGAGATATCAACAATGAGACTTTTTAAATCTGAACTATTGACTCCAACTGAAAAGTAAAAAGCAACAGACTGCTTCCATCGATCTTTAATTTGCTTCAACATAAAAACTAGTGCATCATCTGCAAGTAAAAGCTTCTTGCCATTTGCCTGTTATTCAAATCCTATTATATGATTCTTTTTCTGATCATATAATAAATCAGAAGATAATGATATATAAATACACAATCTTTGCTGCAAATATTTTTTTACGAGAGATAGCAGCTTCTAATGATTGGAAAAGCTTATCGTTAATTCCAACATGTAATGGGATATGCGACAGTAAATTTCTTAAAAGTTTGAAGACTCGGCAATATAAATATTTGCCTCCAGAAATAGCAGGTCTTTGGCGACTTTTTATAAAATGTCAATGCGAGAATTTTATCTTTAAATGTGAATTTTCTTCCATTCGGTTTTTTTTGTATGTTCTCTCAATTGGCATTTTATGACTTGCCCTCAAATTGAACGTCGCTGGAATACAAGAGAATTTTTCAGCACATTTGATGCTCTGCTGAAATTTCTCCCGTAAATTTGTATTTTGTTTATCAATTCTTCGCATCTCCTGTATCAAAATTTTTGATGTGTTATACATCTTATGGACTCGGGGTGTCAAGGCATTGCTGCGTTTTTGTTTGACACTCTGCAATAGTTTGTTTTTAAAAATACAAGTAATTAATATTATTGTAATTTTCAGATGCGTAAACCTTTGCGAGAAACTGGTGTAAATATAATTGTTGGTTTTAGAAACATTCTTTGTCGCTTAGGCGTGCTCCAATTTTCTTACGAATTAAATTTATTAAAATAAAAAAGATCGCTCAAAAAAAATCTCGCGGTGCATAATTACCTGTGACCGGAATCTCTTATATGACAACAGCTCCCTTATGTCTTCCTTCATTTCATTAATTTTATATGATAATTTGGATAGAGTGTTCATGATACTATCCAACTTGTTCTATGCGACATATATATTGAGACGTATGAATTTGTTTATTGGAATTTAAAAGATTTTAATAAATAGTTTAAATATATAAATTTTAAATAATTACCCATCTCCATATTGGGACTCTCCTCTACTTCTCCATGTTCAATTTCACATATCACTTCTGCTATAAATATTAACATGAATTTTTGTTGAATGATATGATATAAAACTCTATATTGGGGCTATCCTCTATTTGTTCGTTTTTCGTTATATGTAGCTACGCATCTCCTCGTGACAATTTTCGTATTTCACAGTATCAGGAAGGGGCTTACACCCTTTAATTATTTTATGAACCTTCAATGGAGAAATAGTTTGTTTTCTGGGCATTGAGAGCCCACGAACAAGGTATATGTCCACATTTATCCTCCTTATCGTAAATTACGACATCCTATGTAGGCTGCGTGTTTGGCGCTAACAATTTTATTATTTGTCCAAAATTCAACTAAAGATGAGTGAAACAATACTCTTATGACAATTATTTAATGGAAATCTTATCAAGGTACTTGCAATTAAAGTATTACCAGGTTGTAGTACTAGTGGTGCACCATGTAGAGAACTCAAAATCCAAAACATATCAATAGAATACTAGAATTATAGAAGGCAACCTCAAGTTATACATCTTGAATTTAAAGAATATTCAAATATTCTTATATTCAAATTCCTTATTTCTATTTGGTAGAGTGTTGCATGCCAATCCACTACATAAAAAGCATAACTCGTGTTTTAGTAAATCTAGAAAATTGTTAGAATGTGACATTTTTTTAATTATTTTCTAAATATTGAGCTGTTTAGTTACGTGTGCTACTATGTTACATATAATTTTATTTGCTCGTGAGTTTCTTGTTGAGCGAAAATAAATCTAAAAAAAACAAACGCGTTAGTAAATCAGTATGTAATGTATTGTAAATTTGTCGGTAGTTTTCTTGAATTGCGATTTTTTTCGAAATTAATGTTGTGATAATAAATCTAAATAATGTGTGATGATTTAGTCTTTGAATATGTAAAATTAGTTAAAATATTTAGCAGTCACGAAGAAACTTTATTTGTTGAATGCTGACAAAACAAATTTGGAACTAAAATAAATAATAAAGAAAAGAAAATAAAATTAATAATAAAGAAAATAATAGGAAATGTTCAGATGATAGATTATGGTAATAGGAGTATTATAAATGGAATGAAAAATTATCACGTACATGAAACAAGAGATAATGAATGAATTGAAGTAAAAGCACTGTTATTGAGGTTCAACAACAACTAACGATTATATAATAACGAAATTGCGAATTGGAACCAGAACAATTAAGTAATTTTGGAAGTAAAACAAGATAGTAAACAATATGATTAATATTTACTATAATTACTCATTTATCTCAATATGACAGACGATATGAATATTTGAAGAGAGCATAGGTTTGCTCTTACGTAAAATAACATGAGCATATAACATGTCATGGAAGGAATTAACTTTGATTGAGACAAATGCATAACACGAGGATTTAGTGTATAATGCACGATATTTCATATACAATTTTGATTTCGATAGTGTCAGTAATTATGATTTATTTATATAACAATTTTCTTGGTCTATTTGTTGAAGAATCACACATGACAATGAAAAAGGAAATTTGATTTATAATGATCATTGTGATGGCAATGATTAGATGGCTTTATTGTGCCAAACTATTTGAAAAATCCAAATAGAACTTAGTTCCAACACAGTCAAGGACATTTATGTCTTTATGATTGTGAACTATTCAAAGTAGTTTTCGACCAAATAGAAGAAAGGGCTCTGAATTTACATTATTAACCAAATATCAAATTTGAAACGGATGCAAAGTATGAATACTTCATACTTCGTACTTCGTACTTCAACATTTTTTTTATTTAATTTTGGATCTATTTGGCTACTAGATTATTTTTCTTCGAAGATCGATACCGAATGTTAAATAAAATGATATCTATAATTCAGTCCACGAAGGAATTTTGACACATTTAATAATTTTGAGATATTTAGAAAAGGTGCCATCACAATAAATAGTATTAGCTTGTAGATTCTTCATCGCCATGCATAATTAATCAGAAACATAGTTTTAATTTGTACGGATTTCTTAATCATGGATCAAATGGTATAACTGACCTTAGTTTAGTCGAAGAAGGAAGTGACATCACAATAAATAATATTCGCTCAAAGGTTCAAATCAAGAGGATTGTTTTAATTTGTACGCAAATCGTAACCGTGTATAAAATGCTATAATCTATTGGCAAACGAAGATATTTCAATACTTATATAAATTATTCAAGGTCGTGAAGATTGATTTGTCCAATTCAATTGTGATTGTAAAATCTTGGCACCTTCGACTGACTTAACTGATCTCTGGTAAAAGTTCTTCCCAATCTTTACCAAATCACTTATGTATATGTATCTATTAAGTTTGTTAAATTGATATAAAAAGGAAATTGAAACATGTTATTCAACCTGGATATTATATAAAGAAAAAGTAATATGGAGTAAAATCGATTCGCACTCGAAATTTTTGAAAAATTTGTATTGATACTTGCAAATATTAAGAAATTCTTGAAGAGAATAATCAGTTTTTATGCAATAGGCTATATTTAACCAATTTTAAATATTCAACGATCAACACATGTAACTTCTAGGATAAGCTTGTAGATATAATAAAATTTTCTTTGTTTTTCACTAAACTTACAATTGGAAAACTACAAACGCTTGAATACATTTCTACAATACATTCAATGTGATAACTTTAAAATGAATGTAAAATTATATGAATCATTAATAATATAATTATAGTTACTAATAGCACATACTATTCGCTATAATAAAAGTAAAACATGTTTCTTATAATTTTACTTTCATTTTTTTATTTTGCCACTATATTAAAGCTATACATAAGATTTATTTTTGAACATACAAGAGACTGCGCATTTTGTAATCGATTTTATTTCTGTACTAGAAACGAAAATACTCTATTTATATTTTTTAGTTCCATATACGTTTCAATGTTTGTAATGCTCAAATTTTCGATCCATATTTTATCTAAGTATGCTTTTTCATGTCGTTGCTTGTACCATGTAAACCCAAGTTGAATATTTTACTTTTTATATATACGATTTTTAAATTTCGGAAAAAAGAATGTCTTCCACATGTGCACCACTTTTTTTAATTATATGCTAATTCTTGGGTAAAAAATTTTCTTTCATTTCACTATTGAATTCTTGGATAAAAAATCGGAGTCTGAATCTAGAAAAATGGAAGGCGACAGAGTTTAGATTTTTCATGCTATATGCAGTCCTAAAAACTTATCTGCCCAGAAAGCTATATAAAAATTTTCTTAACTTTCATGCTGCTATGAGAATTGTATGTTCAGAAACTCCAATAAAAAATTATGGGATCAGGCATTGGTAATGATCGAAAAATTTTGTTCGCGATTGGTAAAACTATAAGGAGAATGCATGCTTGTATGTAATACTCATGGTATTTTTCACATGATAAATTATGCGGTAAGGGAAGAAATCAGTGTTGACCAGTGCAGCTGTTTTCCATTTGAAAGATATTTGGGACAGTTACTAAAATTGATACGAGGACCAGCAAAGCCTTTGCAACAAGTATCATGCAGACTACTCGAACAATTTCATGATAAGTCAAATGTAGATCCAAATGATATTGAAATACATAAAAAAAAATCCAAGATTGGTTTTGTTAAAATAAATGGATATAAAATGTATTCAATTAATAAAGATTGCCATATATGGCTCCCTAATAAAAAGATAATGTGTGTGGATGAAATAATTGAACAGGAATCGCATTTACTTTTTCGAGGGTTTCTCTTTCCCTTTTGACCCACACTTGAAAACAAAGTTGTAAGGTCTTTGCTCATACATTTTTTTATCATTGATGTAATCAATTGCTTCTTGTTTGTTCCGCCGGTCAGAGTTAGCTGAATCGACTGTAAATAAGAACTTATTAAATAAATTGCATATTAACTATAGAAAATATTTGTATTTACCAAATCACTGAAGATATCCATATTTTTCAGCTTTTCTTCTAAATTGTCTAATTCTTCATTCGTCTTAATAGGTAATATAAAGTTAGTTTTTTTTTTCACGGATTGAATCTGTGAAGCTGATGCCTTGTTTCTCTTGACGAAAGTCATCAGCTCATTCAAAATCACTTTGAAAGATCTCTGGCCACTTCTTCATCTTGGTTTGTTTGTATCTCCATTGAATATATATTAAAATAGATTATATTGTTTAATTCGGTGTAATAAAAATATTAAATAACATACCTTTCTGCGCTGGTTTTTCCTTTTCTGGGATAGAGCTCAGAGTGTTATCGTCTGAGCTCTCAATACACGATTGATTTTGAGTTCTTTTTACATACTTCCTCAGGTTTTTATAATCGCTGGTGCTTCTCACGAACCTAGCTTCCAATTCAGAGTAATCTCTAAAAGAAAGAGGCTCGCACGCCTTCAGCATCTTATTTAGTTTATAGCCTGCTACAATTTCTGACCATAAACACATAGTCTTCTCCTCATTATACAGGCCATGATGAGGGCACATGTCCGCATGAACCCTCATTTTAAAAATCACTATATTCCATGAACACTATCAAATATAATGGTACCGATTTTGAAATTTATTTAAAAAAAAACTATAACTGATTATTTGAAATATTTAAATTAAAATAAAATAAAAATAAAATTATTTAAATTAAATAATTGAAATTATTCAAATTAAATAATTGAAATTCATTTTTAAGAGAACTTACCTCCATATTCACTTATTTAAAATTTAACTACGTAAACTTACTAACTACTTAAACTTACTACAAATACCTTCAACTGTTGCGACGATCAAAACTGGAAAGAAATACGAAATGCAATTGCGATCCTTGCAACTACAGAAAATTAAATTTTGGCGCGATTATTTATTAGTGTGGGCACTGATTTACATTTCAAATCTTCAAAACCAGATGCGTAAAAAATGTTCCGCAATATGCATTTATTAGAATATATAGAATGATATATTCATAAATAATAATATCAATAATAACTATGATATAAATAATATTGATAATAACATAAATAGGAGTGTTTTTAGTAAATGTAAGTACATCGAACCAAATTCTTGAAACATATGCATTCGAAAGTAGTAAAGTAACGCATACTAGTACACTTCAAAAACACCACTTTTTTGCTAATTATTTTGTTATTTTTCTGCAGTTTATTACATCTCATCTTATTTTTTTGTTTATAAATTAGTGGTGTGCAGTGGAGATATTATTTACTGTATGAAAATTAAAAAACTCCACTTTTTTGCTAATTATTTTATAATATATTAAAAAAATGTTATTAGTACCATTAACTTATTTTTAGAAAAGGTTCAGGTCTTTTTACATATTGTCTTTCTCTTTTTTAGATGACTTTTATCCAACTTTAATTTGGGATATGTGTTATTTTCGATATGTAGTTCACATAGAACACAAAAATATTTAAAATTTGGATCTCCTAAAGATGCTGGTGATAAGGAACGTAAAGCTAAACTGGGATCACACTCAAAGTGAAGCCATCTTAAACACATTCCACATTGTTGCCAAGAACTGCTGGATGGTATTAAGTCCCCATTGCAATTGTTTTTGCAATTAATAAACGTGTCTTGGGAATTTTTTGCATGTTTATACCATGTATCGCATTTAATACATTTATAATATGTAGGTCGATCTGTTGGAGAGTTACCTGAACTACAACAAATTGGACAGAATCCATCTACAGGTGAAATATTTTTCAAGAAATGTGACATTAAACTTTTTATAGTTTCGATAGTATCCATTTTATAGTTTAAATTCTTATTATTCAATAAACAGAATGCATTTTGTAATACGAAAAGTCCACAACTATGACCATCAGATTGGTGAGGGGAAATTATTATAAATTTACTCTATTTCGTTTGTTCTTCATTAATATAATTGCTCTTTAAATAATATGCTCTGTCTTTGCACCAGGAATAGAGTTGATTACACTAAATTGTTTTAGACCAGTATCTATCAACACTAACATCCATTGAGAATTTAAAATATATGGTGCTTAATATTTTATGCCTGATGATATATTTATAACGGCCTTACAATTTTTATTACTTACGGCAAACATAAATTCATGCAGAGCAAGAATTTTAAACTGTTCCTTATTATATACAAGTGATGCTAAATATGCATCAATAATTATATCATCTAACCACTCCTCGTTGTACAATGTGAAAAAATTATTCAATCAAATAGGATATTTACCTAAAAATCTTATAACATATGATTCACATTTTGCTCTATTGTATATGTAGAGTTTTATATAAAAATTAAAATCTATTGCTACATTATTAGGATGCTTACCTATTGAAAGGTGTGATTCAGATTTGGAACTCTTTTGGCTAGTCAAAAATCCGTTTGAGGGCGGCAAATTTTTCTTAGTTAGAAAGATTTCCTCTTTTATTCGGTTTTTTATTCCACATTTCTCTTGCTTCTCCCACATCTACTATTGTACTATTATGGTAATTGTTATTCTCATATGCTGCTACTGCCTTGTTTTTCGTATTTCTTATTTTATTTTTATTATCCAACTTCTTTATGCTAGTATTTATCCTGGCATTTCTGATACGACTTTCATTTCTTTCTTCAGGTATGAGCTTTGAAACACAATGAAGTTTCAATAAGTCATTACTGCAAACACCTAGATGTTTTTTTAATATTTCTACAAATCTCATATATGGCCACAGTGGCAAAATTGGGATATACCGCTCCATAACATAATTTAGAAATCCAGGACAGTAAAATTGGTTTTGATAACCTTCTTTAGGCATGCTCTCTTCAGTTTTGAGTTTTATATTGAGGAATTCCTTGTAAAACAGACTGCTTCGTAAAAGACTTTGACTCGAATTCGCTTTCTTTTCAGGCTCTTCGTTTTTTTCCGAATCAGCGTTGGCTTAAATTGTTTTTTTCAATATTGCATTCTTATCTGCAATTTGAGAAATTTCCCTAAGTGCTGTTTCTATTTCTATATGATGATATTCGCTGCCTAAAATGCACACAATATTAGCGAATATTTTTGTGCATAATCCAAATCTCGAGATTTTGCGCCTAAAAAGTAAATAATTAATTTTACGGCGAATATTGTCCTTAATAAATTTCTTTGCATGATACGATAGTCTCTTCGTAAAATGGCTACAACATAAATGTAAAGTTATATTCTCTTCAAATTCTTTGGAATTTCTATCATTTAAGAACACATAGCATTTATTAAGGTATTCAATCAAACTATAATGATTACAGCTGCGAATTAACGCGTGAATGCTTGCATAACTATGATCAGTGACAATTTTCTTAAACGTAATAATATGATCTAATTGCATTATACAATCTGGGAAGCATCTTTGGATTGAATTAGCATCATGTTCATATGATATCCATTGCAACAATGGATATAGATAGCCAGACCCATTTGTGGGCAGTGAAATTACGCCTGCATAGATATAAGCTCTCTTGTTGTCAAAAGGAGAAGGTGGTTTTATAACACCTTCTGTTGCGTCAAAATATAGAACCGTGTCCATTTTTTTTTGGGAAAAACTTATTTAATATTTCATTTGCATGGATATCTACTACACTTGGTATTACTGATACAAGTTTATATATTGATTGCTTATGAGGATCTTCTGATATCTTTACCTGGTGATGAATCAAATTCTTAACTTATTACTCTGCAACTTATTTCTCTAATTATATTCATATTTCACTTGGCGCATGCAAAGACGTGAACGAAGTTCGTACACATTACCAAAGTTCTAATATGATTCAGGAAATTTATCTTTTATTTCACCGAATTGTTTCATGCGACATGCTGCTCGTTTTTTGGTGTTTCAATTTGATTTTCATAGCGTCTCTATCTGTTCTCCTTAATTGTCTAAACCTATGTATTGGACTGGAAACTGTACCGACAAACTATATAGCAATATGCCCATGTAGTTTCACGGTAGCAGTAAGCTTTCCTAAAATATGTTACAAATGATTTTGTATCATCTCCCTCAAGCTCATCCAAAAATTTATTTAAACTAGTCCTGAATTGCCTCTCATCTAAAATCATTTTTATAGTTATCAATGTCTCATAAATTAAGTTTATTAACAATCTTGGCAGCTGCTGCCCTCTTCCAACTTCTGGACACGTGCTAAGAGCATAACAGTTTATGCTGAGTCACCCATGACAGATGACTCAGCATTGAAATATGCTGGGCAGTCATCTGTCATGAATGACTTTGTATTGATTTTACCGACTGCCTTAGAGATTTCTTCAAAAAATATTTTATACGTTACTTCATCTTGCCTGTTTGCAAAAAAATGCAACTGGAACTCCGCTTCCAAATTCATCAATCACCATTAATGTATGCAACTGGTAATTGTAACAATTTGTTCCATGGGTGGCATCAACGCAAATTCTGTCTGTGCCAAACTCCTTTAACATTTCCGCCTGCTTCTTAGTCATTTTTATTAACATATAATCTTCCTCTCTAAGCCCATAATCAACAGTGTTGACATTTTTATGAAACAATACTGAAAATTGCTCGCCTGTTTTTCTCTACCCAAAGGTTCACACTGATATAATCAGTTGGGTGTTTGTATGTACAATATGGTTTTAAATGTTTTTTTCTTATGTTCCACTAATCTTTACTGAAGACTAAAGAAGCCCTCAGTGGTAATTTATTATTATATGATGCTTCACGTATATTACCAATGATAACATCGTCCTGAACTCTAGCTAAAAGGTTATCTGTAAATATTATATTACTTATATAATAAATAAACACACAAACACATATAATATATAGAGATATATATCGAACGTGGGGCCGATCGTTGGCCCCACGTTGGGCGCCAGTTTGTAGTTTTCTTATGGCATCTACAATAATACATTTTAAATTAACGCTGTTTACACCCCCATCAGAGAAGTAAAATGCAACTGGTTGCACCCAGCGATGTTTTATGCTTTCAACTAAAAAAAAAACAAGAGAATGATAAATAAACTTTCCCTACCATTTGCCAATTCCTGAAATCCAACAATATGATCCTTTTTACGGTCGTAAAATATTGCGGGTGATAATGATATTTCACCAAACCTTAGAACAGTTTTTGCTATTCACATATTTTTTCTGTGCCCTAGCTGAGCCCAATGTTTGGAAAAGGGTCTCATTAATACCACTATACAAAGGAATTGCTGAGAGCAACTTTCTCAATGTTTGAGGAGCAAGCAAAACAAATATTTTTTCTCCAAAAGTAATAACCTCTTGGAGAAATTTTATGCAGAGTTAAAGCAAGAATTTTATCATTAAGCGTAAATTTTCTTCCTTTTGGCTTTTTCCTATGTTCTCTTAGTTGACTTAATATAAAATTACAAGCCCTCTTATTTGATGTTACTGGGAGATGAGCAAAATTTTCAGCATATTTGAGACTTTCTTGTAACTTCTGCCTCAATGTTTGTTTAATGTGGGCAATGCATTAGGTTTCAGTGTAGTGCCTGTTATATTTCTTTTGCATATAC